CCCCAATAATCCATATACTATACTAAAAACACAAATTCTCAAGCGGTTGAGTGCATCTCAAGAAGAAAAACTAGTCGGTTATTAGAATTGGAAGAAATGGGCGACAGAAAACCTTCGCAGTATTTATGTCATCTCTAAACTCTTGCGGGTACTACTGTACCGGACACAATGTTGCGAACGATGTTTAAAATTACTCTTTGCGCGTTTACGGGAATATGGTGTAGTTATCAATCCGTCGTAGTGTATTTTTGGACAAAGTGAATGGAAGTTCTTAGGATACCTTTTCAGTGGCAGTGTTATTCAACTTTTACCGGAAAAGGTACTCCTTGACAGATTCGATATCTTGATTTTATCGGACAGTTTTCCACTGATATTCAACATGTTACAGGTGAGGACAACGTTGTTGCAGATGCGCTTCCCCGAATTGAAGCAGTAGAACCTGTCTTGGACTTAAAAATGCTTGAAAAAGCACAAAGGGATGATCAATAGTTGAGGGTGATGAACAATGATTCCTCTTCAGGATTGGAACTTAAATTAATAAGAATGCCGGAAGCTGATGCGTCAATTCTATGTGATATATCTACATCCTCAGCAAGACCATCATGCCGATGTCGGAAGGATGCAGGTACTGCCTGACTTGTGTTGCAAGATTCTCCCGCTGGCCGGTGGCTATTCCAATGGAAGATCAAGAAGCTGAGACGGTCGCTCGAAAATTTTATACTCATTGGATGACAAAATTTGGAACTCCATTAAGGATTACATCTGATCAAGGACGACAGTTTGAATCACACTTGTTTCGTGAGCTGAATCAACTGACAGGCGCATCCCACTACCGCACTATGGTATATCATCCAGCAGCCAATGGAATCGTGGAAAGATTTCACCCTCAACTAAAAGCAGCAATTAAGTGTCATCAACACTCACGTTGGACTGAAATCTTACCGACAGTGTTGCTTGGTATTAGAGTAGCATGAAAGGACGATCTCCGTTCAACAGCAGCAGAAATGGTTTATGGGCAAACACTTAGATTGCCTGGCGAACTTCTGACATCATTATTACAATCAACTACAGCGACAGCAGAATATGTTCAAACTCTCCGCAATCACGTTGAACAGCTGCGTTTAGTCAACGGAAGCAGACATGGAAAACGGCGAACATTTATTTTCAAAAGTAAATATGAGGCCCATTCAAAGTTGTATTAAGATCTAAGAAAGCCTTCAAAATCAACATGAACGGTAGAGAAGTCACGGTCTCTATTGATAGGTTCAAAAAAACCTATGTTATGGAAGACAATGACGATAACAACGAGGGAAGCGACGAAGAGGAGACTGTTGAGATAATTCTCAACTCAAATAATGTTCCTGTACGACAAGTGTCACGTGAGCCACCAGCTAGAATCGAAAGATTATTATTTTTTTTATTTTATTTTTCTTTGTTTTTTGCTCTGCGGTTTTCTCGATTTAATCAACGATGTCAAACGTTGGTAGCGACGACGTTTTGACCGACGATGGTCCCAACCAGGAGCATCGGCCGGCGCCGCCCCCAGGAGAAACAACGGTTTTCACCAAATGCTTAAATTACCCGGTTTTTACCACAAAGAACCTACAGTTTTAGATTTCGATACGGTAATGATGATTAGTGATATTATTACTCAGGTAACCCAACCTAATGATATTTACACGCAAATTAAACAAAGATTAATTGCGAGTTATGCGGTTTCTTCTGAATCGCGTCTGAGACAATTATTAAAGGGCGAGTTGTCGGAAGAGGGTAAACCGTCGTTAATATTAAATCGGATTAAAACACTCAGTCAAGGAAAATGCGGAGAGGATATAATTAAAACCGTGTTTTTGGATCAACCGCCCAGCAGTTGCCGTTCAGCGTTAGCCCTGAGTGAGGTTAAAGAATTTGAAAAACTTGTCGAATTAGCACACCGCTTCGTCGAAGCCTCCAGTCAGGCTAGTTACTCGGTCGCGGCCGTTTTATCTAAAAATTCACATGATACTTTGGTGAAAATGATCGAGACGTCGTCCACAAAGGTTGACGCCATTTCTGCTTCTAGTAGATTTCGTCCAGCTCAGCGCTCCAATATCTATAAAAATAGAAACAGAAGTAAGTCTGGAAACAGAAAATTTAACAATAATAATAATAACCATTTTAATAAAAATTTTAGAAAACCATTTGCTAATCAAAATAACAATGTTCAAGGAAATAACGGGAATGATTCTCAATTTTGTTTTTATCATGGCAAGTTCAGGGATAAAGCACACAATTGCGTTCTACCTTGCGCTTGGCAAGCCGGTACATCCTCGGAAAACTAAAAGGGCCCCTTCAAGTAAATATGATAGATAATCTTCCGTGTTCAAAACGTTTATATATTCAGGACCGTAATACAGGGTTAAAATTTTTGATAGACAACGGTTCTGATCTGTCAATAATCCCGGTAAAGCCTCAAAACGCCGTTAAACCATCCGATTATGTTATTTATGCTGCAAATAACGCGCAGATAAATACATACGGATGTCGAAAATTAACAGTAGATTTTGGAATAGGCGACATTTACCTTGGGAGTTTTTTACTGCCTCGGTACCTTACTCTATAATTGGAGCCTATTTTTTTAAACAGTTTTTAGTCTAACTGTCGATTTGAACAATCGGAAGCTCATTGACATCAATTCTGGGGATTTCCTCCCGACAAGCTTTACAATTGCAAAAGTGCATTTTAAAGCTTTAATGGCAACTGGAAAGTGTCGACCGTCGAGCGCAGCCTATGCTTCTCCCATCCACATGGTCAAAAAAAGTGATGGTCAGTGGAGGGTTTCTGGAGACTATAGGCTTCTTAACACTGGAACTGTTCCGGACAAATTTCCGATATCGTACTTGCACGATTTTGCAACTAATTTATACGGTGGAGAAATTTTTACTAATCTAGACTTTCACGCGGCCTACCCGTCTTTCTTGACGACATACCGAAAACCGCAGTAATAACAACGTTTGGGCTTTTTGAATTTTTGTTTATGTCATTTAGCTTAAGAAATGCGTGACAAAGGTTCTAAAGGTATATGTTTAAAGCCCTTGGCGATTTAGATTTTATTTTTGTTTACCTTGATGACATTGTCATAGCTTCCAGAAATGTTCAGGGGCATGAGGTGCATTTCGACACAGTTTTCAAACGTCTCTAAGAATTTTCTCTTAAAATTAATCTTAAAAAATGCATTTGCGGACAAAGTAGCATCGAATTTTTGGGCTACCGGCTTGATAAGAACGGTTTTGGTCCCACTCCAGAAAAGATTCGGGCAATAACCGATTACGGAAAACCGCGCACCATTCACGACTTTCGACGTTTTCTGGGATTAGTCAACTTTCACGGCAGCTTTCAATTGGTACCTTCAGGATTGCAATAGCTTTATTTATTTGTGAAATATTTCATTTTTTATTAATATTAATTAATTAATTAATTAATTGATATCTCGAGAATAACAAAATAATAATAATACTCACCCCTAGGGCTAAATTATGAGCAAGTTACAGCCCGATCCGATCAACTTTTTTTTCACTTAGTTCGCTACAGGAATTTTATCCCATATATAGTGAGGATTCCTTATGACTTAAATTAATTTAATAATTATGCAAAATTCAACATTTGTTAATTTTTTTCTGTTGTTTAGCGGTTTAAAAAAATTTTAGGATTGCCTAAATATTTTATAAAATAATTTCTTTGGGACTGCAAAAATAATTTTGTTTAGATACAAAAATTTTTATTAGTTTCTAATAAAAAAATTTATCTTAAAAAATTCAACTAATAAAATATTTTACATAATTTTTTATTATTATTATGGGGTAAAATATGCAAAAATAAAAAAAAACTTTTAGACCAAAGTTATAGATCTTATAAAAATACATTTTTTGTATCTTTTGCACTTTTTAAATATTTTGCATATTTTATGCATTATAAAAAAATCATAATTTTTAGTCCTTTTTTATGGTTTTCACCATAGAAATCAAATTTTCGGGTATTGTCACTATTAAGGGTTTTTGAGGTTGCTGATCACGAATCTGACATCTTATTTTTAACATTCAAAACGGCGGACAAAATTTAAAAATTGGTCGGATTTCAAAATTTCCATATGGCGGATCTAATATGGCAGAAAAAAGTTTAAAAATTAGTTGCATTTGCTTGAAACTCGTTTAAAAATCTCATGTCAAATTCGTAATTAGTGACCTCAAGAACTTCCCGAGTAACAAGTTTTAAACAAATCCAACTAATTTTTATTTTTTTCATCCGCCATTTTGAATTTTTAAAATCTAATGCCAGATTCGTCATTAGCGACTTTAAAAACCCCCAAGTAACGTGTTTCAAGCAAATCCGATCTATTTTTAAATTTTTGTCCGCGTGTATTACGTCGGTAATATGCATATATTAAGATAACAAAAAAAATTAAAAATGTATTATATAATGTCAGTTGGGGTAAATGGCGACAAAATCCCTATTTTTCACAAATTACGTAAGTTTCTTCTTTTAAAAGGTAATATTTGCGGGTTTATTTTTTTTAAGTTATTATTTACATTCTTAGGATTAATTTTATGCAGTAGAAAAAAATTTAGATAAGCTTTAAACGCATGAAACTGATTGTCCCCATTTACCCCAAGATTTAGAAAATTTCATAAAATTTGGGGTAAATAGAGACAGCAAAGTTTCTAAGAAAGGTTTAAGAAAAGTTAACTACGTAAAAAGACAAAGGACGTTATACTGATTTATACTTATTATCATTTTTTAGATAATTATGTTTATTTATACTTATGTCTTGTCTAATAACTCTTATCCAAAATAATATTTTATTACATAAAAATTTGATATACCAAAAATTCATTCCAGTTATGTATTTGCAGACCCAATCTTTTATAAATACTATTTTGGGCTAACACTTTTATAGAAGAGACCAAATACAAATTTTTTTCCTTATATTATTAATTATTATTAAATAAAAATCATTTTAACAGTTGCTGCTTGAACATTTGGAATGCTTAGTCTCACGTCACGAGAGATCTCTGCGCATGACTGTTGTAAAAAGGCAAGCTGCTGCGCAGTCAGGCGTATCATCTGAAGTGGAAGTATTAAAAGCATTAAAAAGTTTGTTCGAGCACCACAAAGCATTAGATGAAAAGGTATGAATTTATAGAATTTTCTTTTTTGGTAAGAGATTAATTGAGCAAAGTACAATTGGAGTGGTAGGGGAAATGTAATACACACGTTGTATTGACTTGAGACGGCATAATTTGTTATTAAGAGAAAATATAATAAAATAAGAATAAATGATCAAAATTAGAATGATAAAATTATTCCTCACCCATCGCGACTGGGTTCACAGTTGCTGGGGCTCTATTTGAAGATATAAAATAAAATAATAATTTTAGTTGCACGCGGACGCCAGTTAATTTATTAAATAAAATTAACAAAAGACTTAGATCACAGGGAGGGAAGTTGGTGAACCCAAAAAACAAAATATGAAAATAAAATGTTAAGCGACTTCCAGGAATATAAAATTTATTATAAAAGATCAAATCAAATATACATTAATCACTTACTTGAAGATCAATAATAAATATCGACACTTTTCCTTAATTTCTTTCAACAATACAATAATAATTATGGATAATCTCGATCTCAAGGTTCCATATAATTTTAATATTTAATTGATCCAATAAGGCAATATAATCAGATGTACAGTTCACACAAGGAGATATACTCCCAACACACAGTAAGACGTACAGACAAAGATTGAGGAACGGACCCGACGATTTTCGGCAATGCGCCAATATATTGAACTATTGGCGCTTAGATCGATGTAAGGTCACAGGGGCGAGTTATTGACCTTTTTTCCCTTACCCTTATCCTAAGATATTCGATCATTTATTTCTCAAAATAATGTCAAGAAATATTTTCCCGTCACAACTAAATGAATAAAGCCGTCGTTGCAATAGTACTACTTCCTCCATCCCATCTATCTAATGCACTCCCCTCTATGACATCATGGAGGGGTGTTTATTACGAAGATACCTACTGAAAATGCCTGTACAAGATCTTGTACTAGAAAATTTAGTGACGCTTGATTATGTTCCAAAAATCACTAGTTAGAATTTTCATTTTATGTAATTTCATTTGTCATAATTATTCTTGAGCAGAATTTTTATTTCTTCAAATTAGTATTTTGCAGAATTTTCATCAAAACGATTTTCTATATTACAGAATTTTTATATAACCGAAAATTCACTTCTCATAATTTTTATTTGTTCGAATTTTTGTTTGTCAGAATTTTTATTTGCTCGAATTTTCATTTAACATAATAGGCATTTTAAAGAATTTTTATTGGGTAGAATTTCATTGCATAGAATTTTTTTCAAATGAATTTTCATTTCTTCGAATTATTATTTGATAAAATTTCCATATAAGCGATTTTTCATACTACAGAATTTTTACTTAACCGAAAAATCATTTAACAGAATTTGTAATTGATAGAATTTTCATTTCTCCGAAATTGCAAATTGCCGAACAAACAATCTACAGAAAGATTTCGACGCGATTTTTAAAATAAACTAATAAAAAATTATCCATAAAATTGTGATTGATTGATTTTAAAAATCGCGTCGAAATCTTTCTGCCGATTGTTTGTTCGGCCATTTGCAATTTCGGACAAATGAAAATTCTACAATAATAATTCGAACAAATTAAAATTCATATGAATGAAAATTCTATGCAATGAAATTCTACACAATAAAAATTCTTTAAAATGCCTATTATGTTAAATGAAAATTCGAGCAAATAAAAATTCTGACAAACAAAAATTCGAACAAATAAAATTCTGTGAAGTAAACTTTCGGTTATATAAAAATTCTGTAATATAGAAAATCATTTTGATGAAAATTCTGCAAAATACGAATTCGAACAAATAAAAATTCGGCTCAATAATAACACAGGCCGACAAGATTTACTTTCCAAGAATCAGACAATACTTTTCCGAAGGTTTTCGACGTGCTGAATCCGAATCCGGCCTCAGAATTGACCCTAAACGTCAGGTTTTCGAGATATTCTAATCTTAATGTGCAAAAACCCGTTTGTTAACTGTATTTGAGGTCATGCAACATCAAGAGATAATTTTTTTCCCAAAAGGTCAATATTGCATCTTAAAGTGCTATTCTTCCCCTTTACAACTCATTTTGAAAATTTGAAAAATCTTTATTTTTCTCTGAGTAATTGTTCAGTCAATTTTCTGAGTATAGCGAATTCTTAGATATTCCAAAACTGAGTAGGAACAGATAAAACTTCGATAATAGGGAAGAATACAAACATCTAAATTTCAAATAGTTCTGCAGATTTTCGGTATTACTGAACACGAATACGATGTCAGATTTTTAAAATTAATAATGGAGGATCCAAAATAACGTAAGATTTTTTTAAATATCGAAGAATGCGCCATAATTAGAAAATTAAATGAACGATTACTCAGAGACAAATGAAGATTTTTTAAATTTCAAAATGTGTTTGAAAGGGGCAGAATAGCACTTTCAGATGCAATATTGACCTTTTGGGAAAAAAAATTATCTCTTGATGTTGCATGTTCAAATACAGTTAAAAAACGGGTTTTTTTTGCACATTAAGGTTAGAATATCTCAAAAAACTGACATGCATGGTCAATTCTGAGGTCGGATTCGGATTCAGCACGTCGAAAATCCTCGGAAAAGTATTGTCTGATTCTTGGAAAGTAAATTGATAAAATCAAATTTTGTTGGACTGTGTAATTATGACAAATGAAAATTCTAAGTAATGATTTTTAGAAGATAATCATGCGTTTCAAAATTTATATGTTCTTGTACATAGTCTTGTGTAGGTTTATGTACAAGTATTTCTAGATGAACACGTTCATGTTCTTGTACAAGTACATTTGTGATAAGAAATTTGAAAACGTTATAATCATTGAGACTTTTCACTTATGCATGCTAAAAATTATTGAGCAGCTGTACAGGTTAAAGATGTGGGGATTTGTTCGAATATATTTAATATTTAAGTAAACGAATATCCCACCATATGTTCATTCTATAAGGGAACGGTCACACTATCTTATGCATGCACTGTGCATGCATGCAGAAACATTTTGCTGTTCACACTTTAATGAAATATAGTGAATGTTTAGTAACTTTCTAGTTTTTTTTCAAAAATTTCGGTTGTAACCAGGAAGTTACTAAACATTCACTATGTTTCACTGAAGTTTGAACCGTCAAATGTTTTTGCATGCATGAAATAGTGTGACCGTACCCTTAAACTCCACTGATTTCTTGTAATTTACAACCACTTTATTTAATCTGATATTATAGGTATAAAATATAAAAATTCTTACTCCACATTTATATGTCTTTCAAATCTCGAGACAATCTAACCTTACGATTTAACTTCGTGTAGCTGTTCACACTCACGAGCCTGCGTGATTAGGGAATCGAAGGGCAGAGAGATATTCCCCAAAAAGAAAAGTTCGTATGTATCAGCGCAGTCTTTAAAGTTTTTTATTTTACTAAATGACGACATAAATGAACATGTACAAGAACAAGTTCCAAATCTGGTACAAGAAAATGTACATGAATCTGCACAAGAATATATACAAGAACATGTACATTTTTTTGTACAAGTTCTGTTACAAGAACTTATTCCAAATTCTGGAGCCGAAATTGTAGGGGAGAGTGCTGAGTTGTGCCTCATGGGGAGTCGTGCTCCACACGGAAAAACTTTAGTTTATAAAATTTGATATTATAATACTAAATTTTACAAAAAGCCAATAGTAAACGGGGATATAGCGTTACTTTTGTGAAATTTACAAAAACTATGGTAAATATCCATCCTGTGTGAAAATAAAATTACTATAGTGTTTTGGGAATATTGACATAAAAGTTAAAAAGCCCTTCACAATAATAGAAAAAAATTACTACTACATACTAAATTTTACCATAGTCGATATTAAATGTTCCAAGTTGCACCTTCAAATATAACAGTAAACATATATATATATATATACTCACACATATTACATATTCTTGAGGAACGCACGCTTTTAATACAATAATAATATAAAGAACTTATTCTAATAATACATACATTCATATAATCGTCTCAATACATGCTTGAGAAAAAAGGGAACTTCTTTATATACTAAAAAACAAAAAGTATTGCCACTTGCGAGAGAATTTCTACAAATATATGTTATATACATGTAAATCTTATTTAAAATTTAAAATTTATTTAAATTTATTAATGTAGGATTTGAGATTCTTTGAATTTAAATGGAAACATAGATGTCAATAAGATAGATTTTGGGATAGCAAATGTAAAGTAGTAGAGGGAGTTCAGTCTGATTAGAGTCGTCAAGGTGATAAGCTGTGTGCGAAACGATGACTATTTTCTGTAATAGTGAAAAGATAGAAAAAACGATTGTCCTGTAGCAAAACTGTTAAATAAAGTAATTTACATCATTATCCATCAACATTATTATTCTACAATTGGGGGCTCGTCAGGGATAGTAACAGACGCTACAGGACGCCGCGTGGGTCGCGTAATGGTTATAATGTCCGATATTATGTAATTAAAATCCTTTTAAGTGTCTGAAATTGAAAGTATCGCGAGCAGAGTTGCATATTAATTGACGTTGATTGTGTTGTGTACGTAAAGCTGTGCGGAGTTGGATAAAAGTGACTCAAAATGGACGCTCAATTGTGTAAAGTGTTGCATCTGAAAAGCAAGCTAAAGTATATAGGATTGTCCGCGAGTGGAACGAAACAGGATCTGATATGTCGTCTTACAACGTGGGATCCTACACAGTCGTGGGTTCCAGAAGTTATCCAGATGGGTGGTCAGGATAGTAGCTCTTTAGACGAAACTCTGAGTGAGAAAAATGGCTTCGGTTCTCAAAGCGTAGCAGGTGCGATAAACGAAAATTCAATTCAACAGCAAAGAATGATGGAGCTGTTTCGAAGAGAGAAAGAATTAGCTGAGAGAGAGAGCTAGCTATCACAAGACGAGAGTTGGAGATTGCGCAAAAGGAGTTAGAGACACAGCGTTGCCAAAATTCGCACGAGGCAGTTTTGGATGGTTCGGGAAGATTAGGTGGGAGGAATGGCTCAGC